TAATAAAAATATTATAATTTAACTTTAAATAAGGATTATATTTTTAGTTTGGTATAGACAAAAAATTTAAAGTGTAATAGTATAATATAAAGTTATTTTTTTAGTTTTGTATAAATAAAATATTAAAAATATTATAGTATGATATAAAATATTAAAATTTATAAAGTTATTAAGATAAAATATTAAAAATAGGTTTTACCCCAAATTGTGGAGCGATTTCTTGTCCAATGAATCCTGTCACGTGTCGGAAATGGTTGCAGCCTAAGCCACCTTCAACCGGTTGGCCTGCTTACTTCGCCCTCTAGCACAAGATTGTATCCACTGCCATTCATCTAGCACTGCATAGGCACATGATTAATTCCGTACAACATTAACACTTTCCTCCACACCTCTTTTCAAAAAGCACATGAGAAGAAGAGATGTTCAATATCTTCATACCCACCATTGCATAAAATACAATTAAGATGTATCAATGGATAATCTTCTCTATACTAGCAACCCGTGGGTCTTAAGTCTTTCCATTACCGTCAACCATATAATGAACCAATGCTTAGGAATAACTACTTTACTCCAAATAATTTTGTGCCACTAAACTCTGTCTCTTTTATATCTCAGCACTTCATAACAGTTAGTCACATAAAACTTACCAGAATTTCCATACTTCCAAACAGCAACATTAGGCTTTCCATCAGATATCATCATTTTGGGACTTTGATTGTATTGCTCTTCATTTTATAAATTTTAATTATATTAAATAAATATAAAATTAAATAAATTTATAATATATAAAAGTATTAGATAACATAATTTTGACATCATGATAAATAAAGAGTGAAAATATAAAAATTAAAAAAATCTTTTATTTTTAATTAATTCTTTTAAAATCAGTTCACATTGGCTGGTTATAAATAAACTTACAAATTAAACCAATTTAATTAGTTTTTAATTTTCTTTTTATCTAAATTAATTAGATTTGTTCGAATGTGAGAACTCCCATTTTCATGGGTTGAGTCATTACTCCATTTTCTCCTTTTGATAATTGTTATCGACTGTAGTTTTTTCTTCTTTTTTTTTCTATATATTATTAAACAAGGAAATCTTAAGATTTATAAAGAGTTAAACTTTGGTATGAACCATAAAATTTAGCTGCACATTATCAGCCCACCACAATTTTGGCTGATAATAATCTTAACTGCACATTATCAGCACACCTGGGGCTGTCAGTGTAAGTCATTTTCTCCTTTTGAGAAATGTATGAACGGTCCACTGGGGGCTGCCAATTACTGAGGTTTTTATACCCAAGTATTAAACTATTTGGTCAAATAGTTTATTAATTTATATCAATTTGAATGATTTTAATGATTTCAAATGATTTAACTATCTAAATGGTTCTAAAAGTTTACCCGAACCATTTATACTATTGGTGCCAAATCAGTTTGATTGGCAAGTCTGTTTTGATTTTCAAACTAATGCCATAGAGAAAGGTTATATCCTCAGTGTTTTTAAAATCAATCCAAGTCAGGTGGGGTGAAGTTATTGTCATATA